GTTTACCATAAGTTGGATACAAGGTTTGAGTAATTATTCAAAGTGTCAACAGAAGGATTTGAACCCCAAACCTATTGTATAGCAGTTTGACAACTTATCCACTATACTAGATCACTGGACCCAACTGAATAGTTAAAAATTATAAATGCAAAATGCATTTATTTTAAATATCTCTAATAGTTGATAATAATTTAGTTATTTTATTTAACATATGTTAGCTTATTATATTATAGTAAACTCATAATTTATATTGCAATATAAAACTATATTTTTGTTATGCTAATTCCAAATACACATATTTGTTGTTATTATATTAGAAGCCTACTTTCAAATTTGTAATTATTGTACATACTAATCTTTAGTTAAAGATAAGCTCCAATTCATACTTTTTATATAAAAAATATTTCATGTTTGCTAAACAGTTGAAACTATTTCTAAGACTAGCTAAAAAATCAATAGTATGAGTAGAAATATCTAAAATAAACTTAATAGGTATTAAGAGTGTTGTTATACTTGACTCTATTCAAGTATTTTTTTTAATGTTTTATCTAAAGAGCTTATTTAAAATGATAAAATATATAAAACCAAAACACAACTCTCTCCGTAGATCATTTGATCACAAAATTGAGCTAAAGGTTACTACATAGATAAATTATCAAACTCACTAATTAACACCTCATAGTATATTAAGAAAAGAGATACAAAAAGTAAAATTACACATAAAGAAGTAGAAGAATAGAAAAACTCGAGCTTAAAAAGTGACCTAGAAGAAGTTTCTTCAAAAATTCACTACGAAAAAAATTTTTTACGAACAAAACTAGGAATCCTAAAACACTCTGAAATGCAGATCAGCCATGTAACACAAACATGTGCAAAGCAGGTAATCAAACAAACATGATATTGAAATATGTGTCACGTGTTAAAAAGCAGAGACGAATCACACAAGACCAGAACCAGACAGTTTACAGGCAAACTAGATAAATCCATGGGAAATTTTAAAAAAAGCGAAGTCATTCTTAGAATAAGATTTAAAAATCTGAACAAGGAGAATAATTACCAAACAAAATACAGAGTATAGATAGAGCTAATAAGAATAGATTAGATAAGATAGACATGTAGAACAGAAAGAAAGTATGTAGACTTGTTGAAGTAGTGACTAAAGAATACGGTAAAGAAATAATAGCAGAAGGTAGCAGATTAGTAATGAGTTTAGAAGATCATATTAATAAGATGATAGCAGAAATATTAGATGTTGATAGTAGTATAGTAACAGTAGCTAGAGAATGGAGAAAAGTTATAGAAAAAGCAGCAATGACTTAAAGAATCGATAGAGTAAAAAGCATTCTAGGCCAAGAAGTCAATTACATAATAGCAGCAAATAATGAATTAAGAGTACAGAGAAACAAATCAGATATAGAAATGATACATCAATTAGATTCAAGTAGCATAGATAGTAATACGTCAAACTTAAAAATATAAGTAGAAAGATCTCAATTACCAGAAAACAGAGAAATCAAAGAACTACTATGCCAAATGAAAGAAGTTCAAGAGACTAAAGAAGAAGAAATCAGCACAACAAATAGAGAACAACAGTATACTACTTCAGAGGAATCAGAAGAAGATATACTCTCTGCAGAATCAGACTCATCATTAGAAAGAAGTATCTGGGCACTAAGCAAAGATAAATGTGAAAGAAAAGGAACAATAAGAGCTAAAGTAGCAGCTATTAAAGTCCTAAAAAACAATGAGAAACATAGAGAAAGATTATTTAGATGGTCGATAGGAAAAAATGTTTACTTGAAGAATATCTTGGAAAAGATTGGTTGGATATTATAACTACTTACAATAATATAATTATTTGTAATTGCCATTATCACACCAATATCATATGGGTTATTGATTAATTCAAGAATTTTGTCGCCCTGAGCCTGCAGTATTCCAACATTATCATACTCTTTTATAATGGTCTGTCTATTTTCATCAAATGCCCAAATTTTCAGAAATCCATTAAAATTTGAAGATAGAAGTCTTAATTGGCGTGCATCTGCCAAAATCACACATGAAAAGAGTTGTGGATTAATTATTGGCGCAATAAAATATATTAGTCCACTTTTTACCTAGTATTTACCGGAATCATAAAATGGTGTACAAGCAACCCAATCGTTATGACCAGCCCAAATTCTCACAACCTAATATAACATAACTCTCCAAATTAACGATGCTTCAATAATACAACGAATTATTAACTTTATATTACCTCCAGAGATGTGCTGTTTAATATAGTGATTTCATTTGAGAACCCAGAGCAAAGGAGAATTTTAGGCGTCTGGTACAACCAATTATAAGAAGAAAGCTTTAGATAATTCCTTGAGCAAATACAACACAAAAGACAGTATTATATATGTACCTCAGCACATGCAGCTAATGGTTTAATACTCCTAATTGGACCATCAAAAGCTTTAGGCATACACACAAGGCATCGTCCATCTAATAAACACCATTTCATAACTTCTCTAATAAAAGTATATAATTCATATATTTCATAAGTCATGTAAAATCAATTATCTCTGATGGATAAAAAGCTAAAATTCATTACCCATCTTCTGAAGCACTAATTAATACATAATTATTCCCAACACAGCCATCAGTTAACCCTTCTGTGATAGTTAGAGCAGTAATGGCCGATTTATGACCAATGCAGAGAACTTTATGTCGTAACTAAAGGAAATGAATGTGATAGATTCTTTTAATATGGAGCTTTTTAGATCAGTATTTATGAAAATTGTTCTTTTTTTAATTTGAATAATTATGGTAATCAACTTTACTTGAAGGACGCCTTGTTCATCAATTATACAGTGATAAATCCATATGAATCCATCTTTGAGACCTGTCGCAACATGACCTTCTTTATAAGCAATTGTTGTAACTGAAGAAGAAGGCAATCGATTCCATAAAACTAAAGGGACAATAAGTGACGACGAAATCATTGGATAAAAAGAATGTAAATAACAAACGAAGAAATATTAAAAATAGAAAGAAAAATGCTTTAAGCTATCTGAACGCCAAAATACACAAATACGTACTAAAATCTTTGATCGCTTGTGCGTAACCAACATATCCGACCGATTCGGACTGATCCTGTCAATCGATTCCTTACATAATATGATGTAATTTTTACAATTACTAATAACTTTATCGTTATTGTTATTTGCAAGATTACATAGGTTTAAAGAATATCGATATGGTGTTTTTTTTTTTTTTTTTGCTATTTATTTTACCATAAGTTACCTAAGCCTTCGGGTAAGTTCCGAATTACTTCATAACAGATAAAAGATCCGGAATATTTGACGTGTACTTGTAGCCATTACGTGTCAGAAGTTACATATCAGATATATCGATATGCGGGAAAATACTACGTATCATACCTCATTAAAGAATGCCGGATTTTTTTGTGAAACACTAAAAGAAATCTCGGGGTCGGGGTGTTCCATGTTTAAATTTAATAATACCAATTTGATAAAAAACTTATACCAATATATAATTATTAGAACATATAACGATAACGATAAAGGCAAAGAAATTCGCAATGCTGCATTTTTTTAATTTACCCGATCATTATCATAACGATAATGAAATTTATTTTGCTAACGCTAACTATAACCGGCGGAGATAACATGACTAATATACAAACTCGTTTATCTGCAAAATAAATTTCTTCTATGACGAGAGTTGTGTGGAAAGCAATACCTTGGGAGACATAGTAAAAAATTAAAAAAAAACTTGCATTTAGGGAAATTTTGCATTTAGATAAATTTTTTTTTCTTATGTTCTATTTAAATAAAACTAAAGACAACTTGTATTTAAGAAGATTTTTAATTAGACAATTTTTAATTTCTGTTTTTTTTTTATAAAATTATTATAATTAAGTATTATACTTTCTAATTCTAACTTTTTTTTAAAATTTTTTACTTTAAATTTTGAAAAGCAAATTAAAATTAATTATATGTTTTATTTTAATTCAAAACAATTTTATACAAATTATATAAAATTTATTTTATAATAATATAGTACTAGACACAACTCTTTCTGCTGATCACTAAAACCTAACACGGAGCAATAATAAAAATTTAAAAACAACAACCTAGCAAGAAATATTATTGTATAGCGCAGGAAATAAAGCTCATAATTAGTTTGAGTTTAGTACTATACTAATATTACTAGTTTCTAAGTAGCCTACTAGAGCAAAGCTGCTAACTTTAGCGGGTCTTAGTATTTCTTCGTTTACTTATGGCTGAAGCAAAGACTGAATATAAGCTTTACCAAAACTGCTTAGACTGAGTTAAGTAGCATCACTATCCTTTAACTCTAGTTAGAGTTTTCATATCTACCTCCCTTTGGTCTTTCCTATAACTCGAAAAATACAAGATATCTCTCTACATTAACGTCGAATACTTTTTGCAAATTTTTTTTTGTAAAAAGTGGGATTTGGCTACTCCCTGTAAAAGGATTAGCATTCATACTACTAATCTATTTTAGAAAAAGATCACATAAACAAAACAGGTGATCTGTTTTGTTTACTAAATTGATAGCAAATATGATAAGGCTAATCACAGATCATAACTAATTTAGATTAATAGCGTAAGAAGCATATTTTTTTTTTTTTTTTTATGTTATTAAGGCCACTTCCTTGGCTGATTAGATTTTTATTAGTTTGTTATTATGGAACTATCACATGAATAGTTTCC